CTCCCTCGCCGTCGGAAGGGCGTAGTTCGGGCCGCTCTCCTCCACGCCGGCCAGCACGTCCGCGGCGCTCACCGCCTCGACGTCCATCGCCTCCTCCGCCGCCGGCTCGGTCGTGCCGCCCGCTGCCTCGCGTTGTCTGCGCTGCCGCTCGCGCTCGTGGTGTGCTGCTCGGCGCTCGACGCCGCCGCCCTCGTGCACGCACGCCGCCTGCGGTGCCATCTCGCCGCAGGGCGAAGGCCAACCGCAAATTTCGCACAAACTCCGTGCAAAGCCCCTTCGAACGCGCGAAAGCGCCGGCTTTCGAACCTCGGCGCCCGCCCTCTTTCTGGCCGCGTCCCTCCCCTGTCCAATCTTCTGCATTCACTCTTTACATACATAAACTATTTTACTAAACACTGTCCAGTGTGGGCCCTCGGTGGGGCCGTTCTTTTTTATCTCGGGTCAGTGGCTGGTCTGCGACACAGCGCCGAGCGACTCTCCAATGTCAGCCACCCGAAAAGGCCGCACAGAGATGCGCCTGTGTTTCACAGGCGATACACAAGTCACAGCAGGAGCAACTCGACTTGTCGCTTTCGGTTTATCGAGCCTCTGCCGATCCCGATGACTGAGTACAACGGCCCGCACGCCGAAGTGCTACGTCGGAGCAACAAGAATGTGCCCGCCGAGGGACATGCGTGTGGCATGGGACAGGCGCTCGGAAGCCTTCCCACGAGTGTGCGTGAAGCCGGGGGAGAGTAGACCTTTTATGAGGAGGCCTCCTCACCGCCCCTCGTTCAGCGCGTCGAGCGCCGCCTCGTACGGCGCCTAACCTCGGGCAATCTCGAGCGATCTCGGGCGATCTCGAGCGATCCCGGGTGCTCTCTCTCCTTCGTGCGTGATCTCGGCCCATCCCGCCTCCTCTCGGCCCCTCTCGGCTCCTCCCGGCTCCTCTCGGCTCCTCTCGGCTCCTCTCGGCTCCTCTCGGCTCCTCTCGGCTCCTCTCGGCTCCTCTCGGCCCCTCTCGGCCCCTCTCGGCTCCTCCCGGCTCCTCTCGGCTCCTCCCGGCTCCTCCCGGCTCCTCTCGGCTCCTCTCGGCTCCTCTCGGCTCCTCTCGGCTCCTCTCGGCTCCTCCCGGCTCCTCTCGGCTCCTCTCGGCTCCTCTCGGCTCCTCCCGGCTCCTCCCGGCTCCTCTCGGCTCCTCCCGGCTCCTCTCGGCTCCTCTCGGCTCCTCTCGGCTCCTCCCGGCTCCTCTCGGCCCCTCTCGGCTCCTCTCGGCCCCTCTCGGCCCCTCCCGGCTCCTCTCGGCTCCTCCCGGCTCCTCTCGGCTCCTCTCGGCTCCTCTCGGCTCCTCCCGGCTCCTCTCGGCCCCTCTCGGCTCCTCTCGGCCCCTCTCGGCCCCTCCCGGCTCCTCTCGGCTCCTCTCGGCCCCTCTCGGCCCCTCTCGGCTCCTCTCGGCTCCTCTCGGCTCCTCTCGGCTCCTCTCGGCTCCTCTCGGCTCCTCTCGGCTCCTCTCGGCTCCTCTCGGCTCCTCTCGGCTCCTCTCGGCCCCTCTCCTCTCGGCCCCTCTCGGCTCCTCTCGGCTCTTCTCGGCTGATCTCGTCTCCTCTCGGCTCCTCTCGGCTCCTCTCGGCCCCTCTCCTCTCGGCTCCTCTCGGCTCCTCTCGGCTCCTCTCGGCTCCTCTCCTCTCGGCTCCTCTCCTCTCGGCTCCTCTCCTCTCGGCTCCTCCCCACCTCGAGCCGCATCGCCTCCAGCGTCCGATCGACCAGCCGAGGCTGCTGCCGCATCAGCGCTGCAAACTCCGCGTGCTGTAGCCCGCCTCGGCTCGCGGCCCCGGCGGCGCGGAACGTGGCTGCGACGGCGGCGTCAGCCTGCGGGACGTGTCTCGGACGCGTCTCGGACGTGGGACGGGCGTGTGTCGCCGGGGCGTGGCTGCTGCGGCGTCGGCCTGCTGCGGCGAGAGGTGTCCGAGGCCTAACGGAGAGCAAGAGGCGCCGAGTCAGCGCCACGGCCCCCCTCTCTCTCTCCTTGAGCAGCGGCGAGAGGGGGGGGGGGGGGGGGGGCAAAAACCCGATCCCGAGGCGGAAAGGAGGAGGAGGAGGAGGAGGAGGAGGAGGAGGAGGAGGAGGAAAAGAAAGGAAAGGAGGAGG